AAATAGCAATGGTTTTTGAACAGTTTTAGTGTGATTCATATATACTTCTCAAAAATTTGAGTAGTGTAGCTAACTTGTCTGCTGTATGTAATTTTCAATATACTTGCACCAGTGCAGGTAACATATGCAGAAAAAAGTATTTTGAGCCCTGTATTGGAGCCGATGGACAACCCGAGAGATGATCCACACAGTGTTATATTGTAGTTCACAAGATGTGTTGTCAACATGTCTGGGACTAATTAAGTTGCAACACAAAAATTTGACGGTAGCTAACCCAAAAGGGAGTGTCCCCCTCATGACCTGTAGAGAGGAGCCAGAACAAGCAGATTATAATTTGTACCTAGGTACAAGAGCTCTCCTGAAGAGAGACAAGTTGAACTGAACCAAGTGTAAAGCAGCACCAAGAGCATCTAGCCAGATATTAGACACTAAACAAGGACAACAATAACACACGTACAGTCAGACTTGGGACTCAAAAATTATTGGACATTGGCAAGACTCAAAGTGGGACAAAACAGATTTTGGCGATAAAAGTATAACAAAAATTATATGATAATTATATAATATTATTTATGTCCTACCTGGGCCGTGATTACGTTCGATACGCGTGTTCCGGCCCGTGTGATAACTAGCGGTACGGCCCAGGGGTTCTTTACGCGTACGGCCCGGGCCTTCCAAATGTTCCATTGAACGATTCGAACGCGTTTCACCCTAACCGCTTGCACCGCTTTCGAAAATTCGAACACAAAATTCGGACGTTGGAATTGATGTTGTTGCATTTGTTGGCTTTAGGGACACCAAATTTTCGCTCATTTCGCATTGAAAGGCGAGTTTTCTTGGGTGGGTATGACATAAATAAAATACAACACGGTGTATTCTGTATCGCCCTCGGTCCCGGCCCTCCTGCGAGTCGGATCGCCCTCCGGCCTGCGGCCTCAAGTTTAACTCAGTGGATGTCAAAAAGGCTGACAATCACAAAACAACACGGAAATCAATCCCCCACCCCACCCCCCACCCCCACCGCGAAGTTCGAAAACACACCGGCTTTTGGCCTATACTTTTGACCTGCGACCAGAACAACACTCAATCAGAGGACACGACAGGGATTTCCCACTAGTAATATTCATCTCTCCCACCAAATTTTCAACATGGACAGAATTCAGGCAGCGCTGGAGGAGTTTCAGAAAACCACCCACATCAAGCTCAGTAAGGTGACAAGCAAAACAGTTGAAAATGAAAATCTTAAGTTGCCGGAAAAAGTTACCATCTACTAACAGAGTGGGCAAAGTTTGGCTGCATACATTACGGGAAGGTGCGCTCAAGAGGCTCGGGAATTCACACAAATCAGTCTGAGACAGTAGAAATCAATAAGCACAAAATATGTATACACAAAATGTACATATCCACACCGGGAGTGTCAATAAGGGACAAAAATTTGTACACAAAAAAAACTTTATATCCGTACCAGGTTTCATAAGGGACATAAAATCTTTATATCCATATCCACTCTGGGAAGGGCTCTTGCAATTGGCTGCCCATGGAAATTTTAAAACGGCTAGATCCTTCCCAGTCTGAGTGGTTCAACCTTACAAAGTTACAGAGTAGTTACGGGGTAGTTGATTTTATGGTATCATGAACAGCTATAATCAAAGCTCTAGCTTCTCTCTTACTTCAATGGCTGGTTACACGTTTTTAAAAGAGCAAAAAAGTGACTGATTATTTGTATTTTGGTAGCCTGGAATACAGATCCAAAGCACACTGGACACAAAATATCTCAGTGAGCAATTTTGTGTCCAGTGTGCTTTGGGTCTGGCATCCAGGCTAGTATTTTGGTTGAAGATTGAAAATGGTCTACTGGCTCTAGACTTGTCTTGTAACCTTTCTGGATGACATTAGTTCCACTAACTACTCAAATTGCTAGATTCTTCCCAAGCCAGTGCAAAATCCATATGGCCATAATCCCCCATGAAATTTCTGCATTCCTCCCAGCATGAAAAGACATCTTAGGGGCCAGTCTGAAATTTTTTCTTGTCCACATAAATATCATCATTGTAGTGTGCTGAATGATACCCTAGAGCTTTTTAAAATCTTGGTCGCTTGAAACGCTAGTTTGTGCGTTTTGAGGGACAAATTTTGCTGGTAGACTATCTCGTTTGGTGCAAAATTACACGAGTTTCATCTTCATTTTGCCCACTCCACTCAAAGTAGGCTGACTCAAAGATGGTGGAGTGGGCAAAATTTTTGTCAGTGATGACCGGGAAAATTTGGCTAGAACACTGTCATAGAAATCCTGACATCATATTCCCATGGAATAATAGCCTGGTATCCAGCCTTGTTAGCTTTAGTGAGCGGATCTTGAGAAGCGGACTAAAGCTAACAAGGCTGGATACCAGGCTAATGGAATAATGCTTAACCCATTGTCCACCATCATACCTGCCCTACATTGTAGATGACATAATATTCAATTAAATGAAATGTCTTTTGGTACATTCATTGTCAAGTACATGTATGCGTGGTTAATGAATTCAACACATTCATCAAATTGCTGTAGACTATGCTTTATTGTATACTAAGTAAATTGTACCCAAGTGAAAATTATTTCTATACCAATGAAGATTCCTGGATTTTAGTGGAAAGTGACTGGGCAATGTGACATGATACTTGAGTTTATGAAATGCAAGGTCTCGCTTCAACAAGTTCAAGTAAATACCATGTGTAGGCAGATAAGTGTGTCCGTGATATGATTTTCTTGATTTTTAAAAAGATTTCCTGATTTGATGGTCCCTTCCCTAGGGAATAGCTTAATTTGCATATCCCTTGGGAATAGTTGAATTTGCATATCCTCACATGAGACCTGAACATTCAAAGATCTTTAAATATGTCAAAAATTCAAGGAAAAGTTACAAGAGCAAGGTTTTATACCATAAAATATAACAACTTGCGGCTTTTTCCATTCTGTAAGCTTAATTTCGTCTTTTTCTCAAGCATATTTCTTTCACGCGCAAATTTCAAACTTTTTTGCGCGTGAAAACTCAACATTTGAAAGTTACTATTGAAACTATTGATGGAACAAGGTTTTGTACTCTAGAATGCTAGAATAGGATACTAATGCCAATTTGTATCCTCTTTTTTTAAAATTAAAAGTTTAAAAATTCAAATCCCTTGGGACGAACTAATTTATTCCCAAGGGACCTAGAAATCAGGAAGAAAATCCAGAAAACAGATGGAAAATCATATCACGCGGTTAATATTTTTGACAAGGAATTTTGTATTACATCTTTTCTGACATATTTAAGGAACTTGATTTTTTCACGCGCAAATTCTTCACGCGCACGCGCAAATTCTTCACGCGCATAAAACCCCATCCCCCAGCCCGCATATTAAAGTAGGAGAATAGGGGCTAGTTAAGGCTTGGTTTTGGGGTGTATGCTTCCGTGACGTTACGTTATGCAGTAGATTGCTTATTCCTTGACATTTAAATGACAAAGACTGGAGTTGTACAGCCGAAAAAAGTCCAATCCCTTGTGTTGGAAATTACATTGTAAACTGCGACATAATGATTTCTACCAACACCTATAAACTTTCAAGATAACAAGAAGAACGCGTACATGTTGAATTCACCATGGGAAGACCATTTGTTCAACTTGTACCCCTGTTCTTGTAACTAACATTGTACACATGCTGTGTATGTAACCTTCTTGTCACATCTGCCAGGTCCCCTTTGGTACCCTGTCTTGTTACTAGTAGCTTCAGTCGGATTTCAAACAGTAGCGACGGTTGGAAACGGTCCAGGTACCGGCCTTTGGAAGGCGGCCAGGTAGGGACCACTTAAAGCCAGACAGGACCGGATTCTGGGCTATTATTAGCCTCTACCAGGCTTCTGGAAGTGGCTTATTTCCAAGTAGATCTTTTAGTGACTCCCAAAGACAGTATCAACTTGGCCAGGATGACTCAATTTGCCAGACAGTAGTCACCAACTTCCGGGTGGCGAAATGGTAACTGTCTGGCCAATTAGATACTGTCTTTTGCAGCCACTAAAAGATTAGCCTCCTGTGCAGGCCTACGGGCAGGTGGGAGTTTGGATACTGCGTTTTGTAGAATTTTTAACGCGTTCTTTTGCCGGCCATCCTACAACCAGCCGCCAGATTTTTACCCACCACGGCTAGCTTCCTTCTTAATAGCAAGCTCTACGAGTCACGACTCTGCTAAACAGAAGTGCCCTTGGGAAAGGCACTTTACACGACTTTCCTCACTTCGCTCAGGTAAAATGGCTATTGTATTGTCCCCTGTGTTGGTGGCGGCATTAATATAAGTTAAAAATACTTGAGTGTGTCTCCACCTCGTCTTATGATTACATGTTGGAACACAAAAAAATAGAAGTGACAAGCCTTAAGGAATAGAAGCCCACATGTTATAGAAGAAAAAGACCCCAGTCATAGAGCTTGGTATGATAGTGGCTACCTTAGACGACAGACACAAACTTCGAAGCCCCCCAGGCTGCTGGCACCCAGGCTAAAATTCCAAATCGGATAGCGGTTCGGTAAACTCGGGCGTCTATCCGTTCCACATGAGAGCATGCATACGCGTGTAGTCCCTAGCAGGCTAACAATGAAGGTTGACAAATACCGATATCTTAGCCAAATAGAGACGCAAATTTAGCCACCATAGGGTTAAATTTACCCAAACGGGATTTCCTTTGTCGCCGGTTAATTTATTCACCCTATTTTTTTGCCAAATTCTACTATCCGAAAGCCTCCAAAAAGCCTGTTAGAGGCTAACAACAGCGATCGATGTCGAGAAATGTCGGCCCGAAATATTACAATACGTCATATTTCTTCATGACAGCCACAGAATGCGCCACGTCAAGTAACGGTCTCAGCGTAGGGCGAGTTTTACATATTTGCCGGAAGGATCTTCGCTTGATCAAAGCGCCCAGATGCACGAAACACACGAGCAAACCTCTAAAAATCACGCACGGCAGGTAAAAAAACGTTCCTTACCTGGATTGTAGGGTCAGAGTGGTACAAAAAGGGGAAAGAAAAGGCTGGATGTAGCGGTAGAAAGGCTGGTTGTTGATGGCACACCGTGACTCGGAGACGCGGCTTGGTCTTGTGTGTGGCAGGAAAAGCTGATCGCGCTTGTTTAGGCTGGAGCGAACTGGCCCGAACCAGTTCCGTAGCCTGATTTGCATAAAATACGGGCCGTGCGCATTTTCTCCCAAGAAAGGGGGCGCCGCAGGCGTGAAAACAATAGTATAGCTTCTGCCGGGCTTCTGAAGGGACTGGAAAGAGTAGAAATCGGCCAAGTAGACAGATAACATGCCAGGATAGTTAATCTGCTAATTAATTAACTATAAAAGGTGTACAGCTTTGAACGGCAAACCGTACTCCTTTAGCGGACTATTAAACTCCCCTGGCATGTTTAAAATATCTGTCTAGTACTATATTGGCCAATTTCTACTCCCTCCAGCCACCTCTGAAGCCTGGAGGCTTGAGAAAATAGCAGATGTTTTTTTTTTTTTCATTTGTGAAAGCTTGAAACATCGTTTATTCCCCTTTCTTTTAATCTTAGAATAAATTTCCGTATGATTGATTTACAACATCTGAGATTTGACATGGAGCGATCCAAGTAGTGTACGGAAGACAAATAAATGAAGGTTAACGAAAAAATATACACGGGAATGAACATAGCAAACATGTATGTGGTGAGGTTAGCCAAAAGTGATGTGAATTACTGTAATCTAGACTAAATCGTCCGTTGCCATCTATCTTGAAAACAATGCATGAATCCTTTCTTTCCCAACTCTTACATCGTTCTTTCTGTCTTTCTTTCCTTCTATCTTTCCTTCTTTCCTTGATTGACTGTTCCGAGGTCAAATTTAAAGATTTAGCCTTCGAACTTGAATATAACTCTCCGTCCTTGTAAACTATATGACCTTTCCGGCTCTGAAAAAAACAGAACGCAAGAGTACAAAAACACGAATCGAGGCACGTAGGAACCTTCCTGTCAATATTTTTCCGATTAAACTGATCCCCAGGCTAAATAATCACATATTACACAGTTGGATATCCACGGAACTCCATTGTAGCCTTGCCTAATGTAGTTTAGGGTTATAAAATGGAACGGCACAGAGCTGAATCAGCGGGGCGTAGGGTCACAGGAGCTCTTTATTCAATTACAACCTTTAAAATCTCGGCCCCGACCTTTTAACGATCAGCAGAGTGATTGAAAATCCTTCCGTGGCGAAGCGATACGTAGAGATGGTTTCGCGGTAATTGTGCCTGATGAGGCGGAAGGACACGTGGTCCCGTGGGAGTGATGGGCGGTGATTAGGTCACAAAAAGGTTTACACGATTTTTGTTAGCCTCCATCAGACCTTTCTACGGGAATACGGACTGTAGAATTCGGAAGAAAGGAGAATAAATTGGCAAGTTGGAAGGTTGTTTCTTTCCCAGTCCAAAGGCCTGTCAAACCCCAAGGCAGCCAAACTCCCCTGGCAAATATTCTCCTATATATATATAGCCAGCGTAGTTAGTCTGGTAGAGACTAGACGATTCTTGTCATATGATATACACGTAGAATTCGGGCAAAAACGGGGTCAATACACATAATTAGCCAGGGGTGTATGTGAGCCACGTTAACGTGTGCAAATGAAGTCTACAGTGGCCAAACTCCCCTGGCAAATCGTTATCCCTAGTTGGATAAATTTTACTATTTTTCAGACACTTTATAAGTCTGGTGGAGAGTACATAACATTATATATAAATCTCTGTAATACACCCCCGTCATTTCTTTAAGATGTATAGTACCGGCAAGACTTGTGATGTACTTCCAATGCTTTTACTGTAATCCTTTCTTCCATTTTCTTTGTTTTATCTTTATCTTTATCGTTCTCCTTATGCCTTACTGTCAGAACTGTGATCTTTGCTCTGATCATGTGATTGATATTATCTGCACGATGCTTAATGGACTCCACAACGTCATATATCTGTACTAAAATCTATTTTCTAAAGATAGATATAATCATGGATGTATGACTAGTACTGCTTGTAGCGGCAGATAGATACTGAATGAAACAAAGACCTAGCCTCTACGACTGAGGATTTTATGCGTATTTACAATGCACTTCTTATATGGCATATCATTTCTATTTATACAGGGGTACTTGAACCGGCTTAGCGTAAATAATATGTCATATGCCATAACAACAAAAAACGCAATAACTTTATTGACAATCGTACATGTTCAATATGTATAGCAGCACGCCAGCAGATAGTACAAAATAGAGAATAATATAAAACATAACATCCCAATTTAATACTACAACAATGCAGGCTAGCAAACTTTCTAATCATTTTCGGTATCTTTTCTAATAACTTCGGTATCTTTTCTAATATCCTTTCTAATAACAAAGCAGTCTTATATATTCAACTATGTTATGGTAGATGCATCTAAAGATATACTAAAACCTGTCTGTAGAATCGAGTCTCTTGAAATCTGTTGTATATACCTGTTGTAATAAATGTGAATAACTTATAGGTAAAATATATACAGTACATAAAAGCCTGAGTCAAAGAGCTCGCTATGGAGACTACAAAGACCAGCATTCGTCTTAGAATCTGCTTTATATATTCATTATATGCATTAGACTCGGTAATCACGAGGCATGGTTACTACATAGAATGTTTATCAAATATCAGCGTTGCGGGCCACACACAGTGGAGCAGATTGGTCTGAGAGTTATATAATTACCAGGTTCGTGCGGAGGTTATATCATATACGCCCACGTGCAGTAATGAAATTACAGCAGCCTGGCTGGAACTTAATATTCTCACAGCAATATAGAACACTGGATTAAGCTGTGACCTTGAGCAGGAAGGGTTTGAAGGTCAGGGTAAGGGTAGGGGCGCCATGATTTGTGAAACATCTGTTTGTAGATAGATAACTATAACAGACATGATTCGTTCAGCATATCTAAACCTGTATCGTGAAAACGTGTATACAGAGATAGAATCTTTGAAAAGCAACTGTAAATGCTATATGATTCAGGTATGTGAGTTCTTCGCCTTTATGGCTCTGGTGATACACACACACACTAAGTGACTAACCCTATGTAGTATCTCTTTCTGACATACACACAGACAGTGGAAAGAGACAAACACACTCTGACAGACACACAGTCTGTTGCACTCTCTCTCTCTCTCTAGCTCTTCTCTTTCTTGCTCTTTCTCTTTCTCTCTCTCTCTCTAGATAAAAACACTTACATACACACGCGCGCACACAGCGACACATACACTGGTACTGTGATATACAATAATTCTAGCACAAAGGTTTGCTGCAATGTTTGAGACTTCATGTTCTAATTTTCAGCCCTAACCACTTTCAATACTGACAATAGGCTTACTAGTAAGATCGTAAGAACGAATCTACGTTTGAAAACTGACGGAGGCCCATTTCAGTCACGATGGTTGCTGGGATACAGAACTTTCATCATGGCGACCGAACTTAACGAGATTGTTCGTTTATATCAGCGCGCAAGCCTTTTCTGATACACCCACATGTTCATACAAACATCTAAGGCGAAAGAAAAGATTACTTAGTAAGACGTTTGACGCAAGGAGGCCGGTCAAGACGTCAGGTGGGGTTTTCGTGTAATCTCAAACTCTAATTTGAAATCCCCTTCGAGACTAATTAACGTTTCAGTCAACAATACACAAAACAACCCTTTGTTATAGAATGTATACAGTGCGCCTGGGAAGAACTAACGATGGAATCATACAAACGATGGAGCAAGAAAAAGAAGCATTCAGGTGGGGAAGAGGGCATTGACATCGCTGCTTTGACTCGAAAAGGGTATACATGGCTAAAGGATATTGCTCTTGCTCTTATGTAGAAACATAGTGAGAAGATTTGAATTTCAGAATAAATGTAACCTTTTTCCAGTAATATGTTGTCTGTCTCTCTCTCTTTCTAACCTATCACACACACACACACACGGACACACACACACACACACTACAAACACGCGCGCGCACACACACACACTACTACACACAGACACACATACACGCACACAGAGAGTGTGTGAGAGAGAGAGAAGAGAGGGAAGAAAGATAGAGCCTGAGACAGAGGAAAGAAAAGAAAGAGAACAACAAGATTCGATGCAGCAGACGTGTCGTGCATTTTGATTGGCTGACCCTGAATAAATTTCATCAGACGGACGAACCGCAGCGCGCGTAAGGTCAGGGCGAGGTGCCGGCGCGCTCCACGCGGAGAAAAGACTGGGAATTACGGGTCGCGAAGTTCGGGTCCTCCGTGAGACAACGGAACGAACCAGACACGCACGGAATACATGATGGTGATAACTAGCAATTATAGGTTTCAGACCAACCTCTACCAGACACCGAGGATCACTGGAAAATAGTAGAGTCAGTTAGAAAATAGTTGTCAGCCAGAGAGGGTACATTGTGCGTCTGTGGGTCGCAAACTTGTACCCTCTCTGGTCGGCTAACTCCTCTGGTATAGTATTACATTTATTTTGGCCAATTTTCCGGAATACATGATGGTGACAACTAGCAATTATAGGTTTCAGACTTCCGGGAAGTGCTAGTGGCTTTGATGAAGCAAATACATGTAGCCTGTGTGCCATCGTCCGCAGTTTTCACCATGGTGGCCAGCTATACCCAGTCTTATTATCATCATCATTATATACTATAGATACTAGTTCATAATGATGATGATAACTTTTCTTGTTATCATCATCATTATGTACTAGTACCCAGGCTGTACTAGTACATAATGATGATGATAACGTTTCTTATACTAGTACATAATGATGATGATAACATTTCTTATCATCATCATTATGCACTAGTACCCAGGCTATATCCAATACATAATGATAATGATGACGTTTCTTGTTATCATCATCATTATGCACTAGCTATATATACTAGTACATAATGATGATGATAACATTTCTTGTTATCATCATCATTATGCACTAGGCAGGCTTTACTAGTACATAATGATGATGATAGCGTTTATTGTTATCATCATCATTATGCACTAATACCCAGGCTATACTAGTACATAATGATGATGATAACATTTCTTGTTATCATCATCATTATATACTAGCTATACTTGTTTCTTGTTATCATCATCATTATGCACTAGCACCCAGGCTATATTAGTACATAATAATGATGATAACATTTCTTGTTATCATCATCATTATATACTAGCTATACTGTATATAATGATGATGATAACAAGAAATTATGTACTAGTATAGCTAACTGAAGAAATATCAAGAAATTAGAGATCTCTGGGAGTGCTTTGAGTTTTTGTGAACGTATTGGAACGGTGGAACGGTATTGAATAATCATGGTGGAATCCCTGGTTGGATTGTATCATAGAATGGATTTTATATATTTAAAGCGTGTGTTTGTATGATGTAACTTTGTATGTTGTAACTTACTCCGGTAATAAAAATCTTCAAAATCTACACCTTCTGTGAGAAAACTAAACTAACTATTCTTACACACGTACGGAATACATAATGTTACTCCGAATACTAAAGAAAAGTGTCCTTCGAACCGTTGAAGATCACATATACTGACAGCTAGTCCTACGGCTACACAAAGTAACTCCGGCTGACGGTAAGTAAGTTAGAACGGCGGAACAGTTCCCAGCAGACTGAGGTGTCGGGAGGCGGAGAGGTCGGGGTCCATCCGCCATCTGGTGAAAACCGCAGAGAAATGAAGTGTCACGCCGTATTAATGAAGAAGCTTGTGCTTTGCGGTGCGTAATGGGGAGAGAGAGAGAGACAGACAGACAGACAGACAGACAGAGAGAGACAGAGAAGACAGTTTTTTTTTTCAAATTTCGACAACCTCATGACATTTCAGTACCTTCGACATTCCCAACACCATTTGTGCAATAGGCTGGTTAAAAACTCACGAGACAGTTACAATCATTTAGCGTAACATCGCCATCTGTCGACATTCAGCTGAACTGCAGACACTCAAGTACAAGATGGATGTTTTGTTCGTGCCATTGTTGCCATCACAAAACTGATCGCTTTGTTCCTTTTCTATGCTGTTAGGGTTTTAGTTTTTAAGCTTGCAAGCGGAGACATTGTTTACATTTCAAATAAAAAGGTTCTCGTTGTAATAAAGGACTGCGACCTGCAAGGAATATGATTCAAAAGAATAAAGTCTGGAGTTAAGATCGTATCACAAGTTTTTGTTGCTGCAAAGAAAGGCTTTATTAATGGTAGCTCTCTTGCGTGACTGTTGTAATATTGCCGACACAAAGAAGCCAGACGTGCACCAGTTATCGTGAATGAAGATTCTAACCCACATACCTAACAATCTTTGACCGTGAATATGAAGTTGTGTTCATTTGTTGATAGTTTTGAGGCCGCTGAAAAAGCCCCCCATCAACATGAAATAGGAAATTTGCACCAACTAAGTAGAACGAGACAATTTAAGAAATGTATAGTTTGAAGTATTGGGCATGATTATGTGTTCAAGAAAGACTTGTTTAGGGGCCAGAAGGGTAGACTGACCATTTTTAATGTGTATGGCTCTGGAATATTCTGTTTCTCATAGATCACTTATAAAATATCATTTGAAAGCAGTTATAGTGTATTTGGGCATTTTCATCTAATCACATAAGTATATATTATATATCGTTTAGGCTTTTAGAATTTCTCAATGAGAGAGCTCGCTAGCTCGATATAATTTTACAATACACCGTGTACGTTACACCGTGTACATGACAGCTGAATAGTTTTATCAGTAGGCATATCAATCTTTATAGCATGCGGTTTTGAGTCCACACAATTTCCTGTTATATATTTAGCCCAACCCAACGTGGCACGCGTACAATATTAATACCTATAGAAGCAAGGGAACAAAAGCACAATGTCCCCCGCTGCGCTAATGTTTCAATGATTAAATATTCCAATGCTTCATACGTCTGGGGTATAATCCATTTCCTTTTCAAGTCACGTCCACCGCTAATTACAGTCAACAGCCCGTGAACCACCGCAAACTCTGAGTTATTGTCTCCCCCTCACACAGCTTTGTTTACCGGTTGTCTGGAGTGTTTTCCTCGCACAACGTTTACGTTTTCCTCTCAATGCCTCAATCACTGGTTATTCATCAAGCGGACTCGTTTTTCTGCGTTTAGATTTCCCGTGCTGATTTTGACGGAGGTTCGATGTGTCCGAAATAGAACTAGGGGGTTCGATCATGTGTTCGAAATAGAACAGGCGGTTCGATCACGGTGTTCGAAATAGAACAGGGGGTTCGATGTGTTCGATCCGGATCGGTGTTTGTGTGCAGCTGACAGCCTTAAAAAGACTCGAGTCAAGTATCGTTCCGCCTTGCATAGAGTTTAGCCGGTATAAACACACCGTAAATACACACAGGCTCACTTCACCAAACACTCTGGTTTATCAGAAAGAAATACAGGCTTTGTAGAGGAATGAAAGAACGCAATTTTCTGGAAGAATAACCAAGATTGAGAGATCTACAGCCATAGAGGTGGTCTGATTGAAGTTGTCACGCAGTAGCGGCGAGGAAAGGGGAGTTCTTCAGTAATTGGGACCGCCTGTATTTATTTTGGGTCGATGGAGCCTACAACGTTTTGTCAACACATGTCTCCTCAATAGGGACTGTGCGTACAGCGCTTGCGCGTGTGGTTGGAACCCAACAAATTCGTCAGAACCCTGGATACCATGTGTGCGACAGTAACACAATTTTTTTTTTGTCGCGTTGTGGAATTTATGGAGTGGAGAAATTCGACGTAAACGTTGTATATTTGAAGACTAGGCGGTGGCTGGCTGCTAGCGTTGTTAGGGACAACCGCAGGTGTTCTGGAATGTCGTGTGACAAGTGAACTGTGAGGGTTCGTATGCAGGACACTCAAGTAACACCGGTACCTTCCCGTCTTACACTTGCCACAAGAAACAACAGGAGCGATCTTGAAGGATATATACTATTCTAGTCAGGATTTCCCTGCCTGGAGGCATGAAGCCGATCGGAGGTAACCAGGATATGCGGGTTGAGGGTTTCGCGGCAGGGCTAAGGAGAGACATGAGGAGGGTCGCCAGCGTACGAGTGCAGACGACACAACACGGAACTCGCCCGTACCACAGCATGCTGCCTCTGCGGTGCCCGAAGTTGAGGAGGGCACAGTCTGCGGTAACGTTGGACGAGGTGAGGAAGAAGGTGTGGACGCCCTACGCCGTGGACGTGGTTGTCTCTCGGCTGCAGGAGTGCGGGATATCCGCAGACGACACGGCGGCCATGCTGTGGAAACAGCGGCACGACGACACGCTACACGACCGAGAACAAACGCCTGCTAGCCGCGGACACGACCCGAGCGTGGTGCAGGGGGAGGGAGAAAATAGCGCTGCGCCGAACTCAAACCCTCCGTCACGGTCTACAAAACCTGACAAAAATCTCCCAATTTCTGTGGAAAATTCTTCAGGGGGACATTCAGTGAAGGAGAGTAAAACTGGTAGAAAATTCGTCCGTGCTACCAGGTCCGCACCTGTCCGACGGGTTTGCCATGTTTGCGGCGGCTGCCTGCCGCCCCATAACAACGGCAAAAACACGCTTATTACGACCACTTACCCAGCTTTATCCACTACCCACAGCTCCAGAACTACCGGAATAATTCGTCCAGCGACGGCAGACGTGACAGAAATTAAAGGAATCCTAAAGAGACTGGACACAGAGGAAGAGAGTGTGAGGTCTCAGTCGTGTCAGTTTCCGGATCGAGAGGTCACATTTCGTCTCGACCCGGCACATTCCGACAGACCAGGTGAAAACTTCCAATGCTCGTGCGGTAACAGGACGTCGTTCGAAGTGCTGTCAGCCTCGCCAGGCCGGCAACTGAAGAGAGAAAACGGACGGTACAAGCCTTGTACCATGACTATGACATTTCCAGGCCGTAAAATGTGGAATCTAGACGACTGTACACCGCAGTTAGGGCAGACATACTACGCTTACAGAGCGCAGAGACTCAAACAACAAGGAGAGCTACGAAAAGCGATAGAGGAGGAGAGAAGACTGCATTTTGCTAGGGTCGCAGGCGACAGGACTGACCCACAAAAACTTACGAATGTCCGAACAAAGAGTGCGAGAACATTAACCAGGCGTTCTGTATCCTCCATGTTTTGACAAGCGTCGAATTTCCCAACCGGATATGTCCTCTCACTGTTAACGTTACAACCCTTCACAATACAGACATGTACGCTACAAGCCTACGGAACACTTAGATCGCATGGACAGCTTTATCTAGAAAAAAATGTACTAATTGTTTGCAAATTGAACCCTGCGGTCTGTGTTTCGCCGTAAAATAGCTATTTATCGATCGTTAAGTGATTCTTTAAGTGCTTCGTCCTTCAAAATTTGACCTTCTAGTTAACCTACAGAACACAAGATGGCGGATAAATATGGCACAGTAGTGTTATACATTGTTAAGATACAATCATGGTACTTCAATACATATTTGTAGTTGTTACGTTAACATGCAGTTGCATTTAGGGATCCTTAATAATTATATCACGAATTGATAATTATTATAACATTTAAATTCCTGTTGGAAGATTGGTTGCATAATCCTTATACATGGGAGCCAATCAGCAAACTTTAGAGATATCAACGAAAAATGGAAAATTAGGGTTCCAATTAACATTGTATCAATACATTTTTGTTGCTTGCATAGTAAATGTATGATAAAATCGTACATTAAATATTTCATTTTGTGAACAATATATCTAATTATCTTATTACTTCAGCAACGTTGAAACCTATTTCTTAATAATTTCTACCCCAATACCTGTGAAATGTACCACTATGCTACTATATAATTGATCTTTATTTGCAAAATCATGCTCGAAGGCTAATTGCTTTCATAGTGAAAGACACTATTCGGTACAATACAATAATTGTAGACAGACAACTAGTACTACTTGAAAAAACATATACTTCTACTACTACGCTAGCTATTATAAGGTTTGACTTCTTCTTTGAAGGCAGTGGATAATGAATAGTCCCACATTCTGCATAATGAGTGGGTTTATTTTGTGATCTTAGTAAAAACGTAGTCTTTTCGTCTCTCTCTCTCTCTCTCTCTCTCTCTCTCTCTCTCTCTATATATATATATATATATATATATATATATATATATATATATATATATATATTTACCCTGAGCAAAGCTAGCTGTAACATTTCTTCCCTGACCCGTAACGCTTTCAAACGTCCATTGTAAACACGCAGCGAATCGCGCGCTTGTTCCTGAGTCAGTTTGCAGACGACTTTTGTTGTCAGTGATCCTTTAATCTTATGTGAAAACAACTTTCTCGCTTAGTGAACCCTGCTGATCCATTAGAAAATACCTTCCAATCCTTTTAGTTTTTCTCCAGCCATTGTTGTTGAGTTCGAGTGTTGTCGACTGTCGAGTACGTATGTTGTGTTGTTTTCATTTAGAGGTTTTGAGTCAACGATTTGGTCTTGAGGATACTCGAGTTTCGGATTTCAAAAACACTTTCAGATGTTTTCTCATGTTGGCTACATTCCAACACGACCGACTTAGATTGTTCAAAAACATCGGGTCGTATTTGTCAACCATGCAGTTAAGGGGACTGAAAGAATAGGCTAAAGAATTTCGGAAATTTTGCTTCGTTTCGACGTCCAACAACCTCACTATGTACTGTTACATGTTCTCGGTGGTTTTTATGTCACAGTGATCTGTCAATAAATTTATGACACAGTGAATACTAGTATATGTCCACAGAAATGGCAGTTGTTTAACCGTGAACTTAAAACGCAAAAAAGTCATTTTTTCTTCCTTTTACAACGAAGTTCCCGCACAAAATAAACGAATCCACACGGTGTTATGTTTTATTATGTATCTACCCGAAAAAGACGGCATCAGAATTTATGGCATGTGTATACGGAAACTGTAGACGATACAATATCCATATATATTAAGCAAACACCACAAATACTATATGCGAGTCGAAAACACGGAAAATGCCGTTTTCATATAATGTGCTAATAAACTAATGATGTTAAAAAGTGCTGGATGGCGTCAGTGGGTATTGGGTAGTTGCGAGTTCGAACCCTGGAGTCCAACCCGCGACCAGCTCAAAATCCCATTGTTGAACAGGTTGCAGATGCGAAGTACCCACTCGACTAAGCCAGCACAGGGAAACACTGCCGTCTTCCTGTACATATAGCAGCGGGTAGGTCAAACACACACATACACACTAACGCCATCTGGCGATTTTAACAGGCACAGCAGGCAATGCTGATGTCATTCACCTGTCGTCTCCATGGTGAGATCTCATGACGCACACGCTGACCTATGACCCGCCTACCGCAGGTATATAGTAACGCATCGGCGCTGAGCTCGGGTGCTGGCTTAGTCGAGTGGGTACTTCGCTCATACGCAACCTATTCAAAATTGGATTTGAATGGTCGCGGGTTCGAGCCCGCAAGGGGTTCGAACTCGTAACTACCCATACCCACTGACGCCATCCAGCACTTTTAGCATACCCATAGAACGATCGCGTAAAATCGGTATATGTGTGTTTGAAGCAGTTTTTCTTGCGTGACCTGCTTGTATGCCTTACTGCTTCCGGACTTCGGGGGCTCGAATCCCAGTCGAACCGTTGTAATTTTGTATTCCCCTTTTTACGCCACTGGTAGAAGAAGAATTGGATCCCACATTTTATAGAACCCTGCAAAAATACAAGAAATTATTTTTTAAAAATTGGAACATGGTAAAATAATGATTTTCCATGCATCCAATCAGATGTAGGGTCCTGGTTGGTTTGCGGTCACACCTAAAACTCCTGGAGCAAAAATTTGAGCATTTTTGGGCTGACCTATACCTTCAATGGTTCATGTATTTTTTTTTTTTTTACTTTCGTCAAGAAGGTTGTGTTTTTGCAAGGAGGTTTTATTCGGAATGAAACCTCCTTGTTTTTTGTAGCGTTTGTATATGTGTGTGTGTGCGCATGTGAGTGTGTGTGTATGTTGTTTAGCACTATAACTCAAGAAGCTATGGATGGATTGTCATAAAACTTGGTGGGTGCACGTGGGTAGGCCTTGTTTCAAAATTCAATGTGTCTTTTTCAATCAAGAAAAATAACGGGGCGAATCCATAACCAGGAAATTAAATCAGTATGACGTCACCACCGCGCAAAACACGCAGCCACCGACTAATGGATTTGTAGTGTTACTCTTAAAGTGACGTCACAATCTTACTGACCAATCACCGTTCGCCTTACATCCTCAAAAATCACAGCATAAACCTCTTATTTTCACGGCTGACTTGCGCCATTTTCCCGTTTTCCTGAAGTGGGTTTTTCAAGTCCTGTTGCATAGCAACCGTCAACAAAACATCGCGGATGTAGAAAAAACAGCGACAGGAAGTTGTCCTTTTAGTTTCCTCGTTGTTTTCGGCGCAGCTACATTGCAGAATTCCTCGTCTTCACATCAACATTTGAAAGGTATTTCGTACATGTACAGTTGAATTCATGAACGTATCTTTGCATGAATTTGGGGGGATACGATGTGGGTATACGTAATAAATCATAGAACTTGAGTTCTGTTTTTCTAATCTGGTATTCAGCTTTTTGTAACGTACAATTTTGTTGTCAATGTTCCTGGTTAGTTATGCCGCGTGTTATCAAAGTATGAAACGAGATTGGGATTTTTCTATTACCTTCTTCAAGTGTCAGGGATCTCCCCAGAAATTTAGGACAGAATGGAGGAGGGTGCGAAATATCGGTAAATTTGATCAAAGAACCCTGGAAAAGGGTGTAAAAACACTAGTTTTGAAAATTAACAGGGTGGAGCTGAGATAAGGACTGGGTGGAGGAGCTCCACTGCTCCATTGTTTAGGGAGGTCCCTGAGTGTTACATGATAAAACTGCGATGCGCAGTGGATTTTAATATCGCTATGTAGCCCTATAGTATATAACGTGTTGTAATGGATTATGTAACAAGGTGTTGAACAAGAAAACCATAATATTCACTGAATACTAACATCGTACTTGACCTCGTAAGAAGTTGAGCTCTTGATGTTGTGTGTGTTTTAAGTAATGCTCAAATAGCTCTAATCCAATAATACAAAGATTGTATGATGAGTCTACTATCCATGTTGTATTTGACATTTATTTTGTAATTTTTTTCACAGCCGTAATTAAGAGACCATGGCTCGGGATTTTTTCTTCGTGGTTTTCCTTCTGGCGTGTGTGGTAGCATGTGTCCATTGTAAGTACTTGCATTTTCATTTTACAGCTTTTCTAACATACCGGTGTTATATAAAATCAATGACTGCTCTATAAAGATATGTAAAGAAATGTAGGATAAAAATTTTGATTCTTTTTCCTTAGTATGTAGTATGGATATCGTAGTAAATATGGTACAAAATTTTGATGCACTTGTCAAGTTGTACAAATATTACACGTTTTATATTTTATTAATTGATAAAAAAGATGATTGTAGAAAAGAAATAAAAAAAACAAAATTGCCCCCCCCCTCCTCCAGGTTTGAATTGTAACCAGTGCGTGGCGCCCCTCCCCGATAGCCTATCAGATTGCCAGGCTATGAACACGTCATCAACCGCCACAAACTGCTCCGCCAATCTAAACAGCTACTGCTTCACCGCAAGAGTCGAAACAGGTAATGAGAGGAACTTGAAACATTTGAAACTATTGTGTATTTTCATTGTGAATTTCTTAGTTTATGTCTGTGCATTTTTCTCACTGCCACCCCATAGAGCCTATAGTAGAAGTAGTAGTAGAAGTAGTAGTAGTAGTAGGAGTAGGAGTAGTAGTAGTAGTAGAAGAAATAGTAGAAGTAGTAGAGGTAGTAGTAGTAGTAGTACTAGTAGTAGTGGTGGTGGTGGTGGTGGTAGTAGTAGTAGTAGTAGTAGTAGTGGTAGTGGTAGTAGTAGTAGTAGTAGAGTTGTAGTAGTAGTAGTAGTAGTAGTAGTAGTAGAAGTAGAAGTAGTAGTAGTAGTGGTGGTGGTGGTGGTGATAGTGGTACTAGTAGTAGAAGTGGTGGTAGTGGTAGTAGTATATATATAGTAGTAGTTGTCTCGTCCAATCACAGCCGGGGTTTTAACCTTGTTCCCCACTTCTCTCGTCCAATCACAGCCGGGCTACTAACGGGGTTCTCCCGCGGTTGCATGGCAGTCAGCACGGGGAACGGCTGTGTCAGCCTGGGGGTGGTAACGACCTGTAGCACGTTCTGCACCACGGACGGCTGCAACACTGACAACGCCGCCTACGTCACCCACGCCAGCGTCACGCTTCTGCTGCTGGCCGCAGCGGTGGCAGCTCTGGCTGCAGTTCATGTCTGAATCGCTAGATAACGTTGCTGGCTAGAACCAAGTATGATAATGAATAAATTAACGAAGACCTTTATTGTACACACATATCCACTGGGTTAAGTACAGGTCACAACAAAAGGATGGAATATAGATAATGCTACATATATACATCGTCAAGTAGCTACAATCAAGTAAGTTTGGTTTCTTCTCGTCTCTTAGTAATGGCAAAAAGGTAAGAACATATATGTTTCAATACAGAAGGTTTGTCTAAGTATAATAATACTGGCAGTAGAACGTCACCAATAGATAGCCGATCGACCCAAAATTTGACCGATCGCTCTACGAATTTCAGAAAGAAAGTTTTGTTCGCCTCATTGTGTTGCTGCTAAAATTACCAGAATTACCAGAATTCGGAATCTGAGATTTGATAATTTATAGAATAGACCATCCCACCACACACTGTCAAATGCCTTCTTAATATCGACAAAAC